GCATGTTAAAAGCTTATCAAAATTGAAGTAACACTTGGGTAGGTTTACTTGTAAGTAAAAATCTAAGTATCTCGCATGAGATTTAAGTGACAACTATTACGAATCGGGGTTCACATGGAGAAAATACTATGGTAAAAAAGTTACGTTAAAATATATTTTTTTACAATGTCTTTTGCAAAGCTGCATCATATCGAAATCATAGTATAAATTATTAAAGAAATAATAAATTTAACAATCTCTACCGAATGCATTGTATAAAAAAACATTCCAGCGGTTGCGACAATTTGTAGAATGAAAGGTCAAACTTGCATATGGTATCTTCAAACAAATCTATTTTGGTCATAATGCCATATGGTGGAAGATCAGTAAAGTCTTGTTGCAATTTTGACTACAATATTTTCTTCGTGCATACGTTTCTCGTTGCATAGTTGTAAACGTTTAAGCACTTCTCTCGGAAAGCCTCGTTATTGGTGCTTGACACATCTGTGAAGTAATGCATCGATAACTTTGTGGTAAAGAATGCAGAACTACGTTTTGTCTGTTTCCAAGAAGAGCCACTTGACACATCTGTGAATTAATGTGCATCAATATATCTTTTACCTCGGCTTGTTTCTTTCTTTTGACGTCCACGGTGTCAAGGTACATGTACGTTTATTGTTTGGGGTTCACCGGTAACCGTTACTGTGATATGTCCTGGTCTCATTATGTCACGCGTAAAACGTAATCAATTGCGTATAACGGATTAATTAAGGTTTCATTGGCACGATTTTCAACAATAGGAAGAACGAACATATTGCCGGTACTTCGCTGCACAAGCGCCGATTAAACTATTGCTCTTTAATAATTCGACATTTGTCGAATTATTATTTTCTTTTCTCAATACACCTCTCGTCTGCGGTATTTGTTAATAACTTTTTAATGAGTAACGGTCTGAATGAGCGGCCTTTCAAATATTACTTTTCGATGACGTATGTTAAGGCCAAGTTGATTGGAGCCGTCTCTCGCGTAAACTTTTCGCCAAATTAAGCGTATATGAGAAACGGCAAGCCAATGAAACGCGCTAACGAACACACTCGTCATGAGCCGCATTTGTTTGGCGTATTTTGATTGCTTTTCGATAGTTACTCAGGGTGATGACCTCAGTGACGTATGTCAAGGCCAAAGCTGGCCGGAGCCGTCTTTCATGTTATAGGCACATTTCTAGCCAAATTAAACATACGACCAATGGCGAGCCGATGAAACGCACTAACGAACGCACTCGTCACGAGCTGCACTTGTTTACCGTATCTTGGATTATTCAAGATTTAATTGGAAATAATCAATGGGAACCAGCGCGGCAATCAACTTAAACGATGCGATTTTATTTTCGCGTTTATTACAAGGGTGTAGAAATCGCGCGCGAGTGAGAGTCTGTACTGATGTATACTACAGGGAAGGGGAGAGAAGAGGAGGGGAGGGGGTGGAGCCAGGAAAGCTCGTTCGAGCGTTTTATCTCTCGACAGTATTTCGATTTCAGGCTTAACTACCGGCAAGTGCGAATGCCGAAGACGAAATGATCGTAGACGGGAAGCGGCGGGGGAGATGACGTTCAAATTTTCGCTGAATCCACTCCAAATTGCCCGAGGAGAGAAAGAGAGGGAGAGAGCGAGCAGAGTCGCTCTGCCGGGTCGTCCCCCTCCCTCTCCTCCCCTTTCACCCGGCTTTACTTTTACCGCACAGTCACCCTGCAGGTCACGCGCTTCGACATTAATCTAACGGCCTTAAGCGGCTTTTGTTATCGCTCGGCCGTATATTTTTTTTTCAAACCTTCACGTCGACAATGTCCCCGAGTCCGCGGAGGAAGCGGCGCGCGACAATCGGATCCGTGAAATGCGGAACAGTGTAAAAATCCACTTTTGTCTTTTTCTCGCGCGAGTCATTCGATATAGCTGCATACTTTTCGGGCGGACTGACGAGCGTGCGAGATCGAGATCGATCGAAAATCGACTCGACGTTCCGCCCGGCGACCTTCGCGAGGATTCGCGCGAGTGGTCGGGAAAACCGACTGGTATCGACCGACTATGCGAAGCTGTTTAGTCCACTGTCACTCGTGTGTTCTTGACAGTTCCCCCTTTCCCGCCTCCCCATTTTTTTTCTAAGCCAGTCAAATTGGATCAGCCAACGTATACGTACGACGTGTGCCAGTGACACGCAAGTCGATAAACAAACTGCCGCGATGTTTCCGATACAACGGGCGTGCCGAATGATGATCAGAATACACGATCATACGCCTGATCGATGTTACCGCCAAGAAAAACGCGATACGGCTTTTTGCCGTCACTCGTTATACGCCCCCGGAGCACATTTCTCGCGCAAATATATTAGACTTCTTATCTGAAACGTGTTAAACGTGTGCACGGAAAGAACTTTCTGGAAAGGAAATTACTACAGAATTCCGTAACCGAGAAACACATCGAGGCCTTTTTGCCTTTAATTTGTTAATCTCTCTCTCTCTCTCTCTCTCTCTCTCTCTCTCTATATATATATATATATATATATATATATATATATATATATATATATGTGTGTGTGTCATTTATATTTTAAGAACTGAAGTATTATCTTATATTTTTATCATGAAGTACTATATTGAGAGACAAAAGTATATCTGAAGAATATGAAATATTTATTCGATAGGTATTAATAATGTATTCTATTTACTTGTATTAATATACATACATATATTTACATTAAAAACAAAAATTCCTTTTTTAAGTGAGAAAATATATATTTTTCTAAAGCACTACCGTGTTGCTTTTCACGAGAGCAATTGCTTATTCTATTTGAACAAAAGAATTAAGATTCGAATCAATATGTATATTCGCCAAATAAATACTTTTCTATTTCTCAGGTATTTTTCCTCTCAGTGTATCTCAAAAAGATCCGCTATGTTCCTTTAGCAAGATAAAATTCCACTGACAGTCCGTACTATCAGAAGATATGGTGAAATTTATAAGAAAATTTCTGTGAAAAAAGAAACTCAAGCTTACAGAACTTCGTTTTTTCCGTGATTACGTTCGTTTGTATTAGCATAAGTGATTAATATACGGTTTTTTCGTTCTTCGTAAAAGTCTTCGCAATAATATATGAAATATCAGAGAGTCATAATTGAGCTGTGTGAAACGTTCAACTTCGTCGTGCCAAAACTGAACCGGCCGACGGAACCACTAGTAATAATTGTTAATTATGTGTTTTCATACGTTCCAACTCGTGTTTGCTCACGGAGACCCGACGTTATCGTCCGTGTCTGTAGAGCACGTAAAAGAAATTAAAACATTCAGGCGTAGTGACATTATCAGTGTGATTGTGCGAGTCTCTATCTTTTAGTTGCCGTCTGCAGCAGTTATCATATCAGTCCATCTATTCGTGGAAGGATTAGTGGAAGTTTTCAAACGGAATTCATTATCGCAGTATAGACCCCTAATATGTACTGCGCGTATATCTTTGGGCTCTTATATATTTTCGCGTTATCGGCGCGAGGTCGGCGACGTTTTCGACACACGCGACAACTGTATAATTACATATTTTATAATGAGCTGTACTTCTCGATTGTAATCGATGAATTGACAGTGGGCATTTATTTCTCGCGAACGTGAACGCGGATACACGCGACTATCGATCGTCATTTTATTAAGAGATCGTCATACAGTATCTTGTTAGGAGTACAAATTAAACAAAATTTTGGGAGTTGTAAAAACTTATAAATTAATAGGGATATGAATTTTTTGTTATGCAAGTCTATTAAATACATTTGACAGTATCTTGGTGTAAAACAATTAGATATTATAGCGAATATTAACATAACTTACATAACACAAATTTTATACTCCTATTAATTTACAATTCTACGACTTTCCAAATTTTACTTTTTGCTTAATAATTTACATTTAATTTTTATTTTATTTTATTTCTGTCAGGATATTGTAACTCATTAAGGGAGTAGTCAAAAGTGATTTTTTCTTTTTTTAAAAGTAATTAAAGTCGGTCTGGAGTGACGACGAGTAAAGCTCGATTTCTATAATTTATTTAATTATTTTTTTTAGAAAAGATGAATTCTCAGTTTCCGACTTCAAACAATACTTTAATCACTGCTTCTTCATAATTCGTAATGTTTCAATCGATAACGTTCATTTAAGACAATTGCGTCTGTATCGCTATATAATTAACACTTTGATCGCCACGATGAATTCACGTATGAATACCAATGGTATTCATGCTCAAATTCTCCGTGTGCAAGCAATGTGTGCAAGCCCTTTGAGTCCTGTTGTTTTATTTAAAAAATTTCGTGTTATTTTAAAAAAGAAATATCCAATAGGTATTTCCAAACTTTGATTTAGAAAACAGTTTTAGTAGAAAAAGATTGAAAAATTTCATTGAAATTTCGAAAAATGGAAATTTTTTTTTCAAGATAAATTATAAGTTGAAAGCTTCAAAAACGTTATTAAACAACGCAGATGGAAAGAGATGAATAAAAATATTCGTACTTATAAATATTATTATTACTCTTAAAGATATATATACGCGCTGGGATTCACAGCATTAATAATATTTTGTTTTCTACTAAATACTTTCAAACTTTTCTACTAGATTCTTCCAAAGATACTTTTTATCCATGATTTCTAATCAGCCAAATTAAACCGTCATCCACTTATGAGTTTGTGGAAACGCATGCGTCACGCAGATGACGTGGCAGTCAATGAGTTTAAGTATAAATAATATTCTCGTGTAGAGCATTAAATTCGGTGATACTTGTCTGTGGCACTATAACTACGGTATGTCGAAGCTAGTCGTTTGCAAAAGGGAAAATGAAAGAGAGGAAATATTATTTTTAAATATTATTTAAGTCAGACGATCAAACGATCATCACCTCGAGTTTAACTCGCCAATCAAGCGAGAAAGTCTCGCCTTTTTATCGCCTGTCCACGAAAAATTTCCTAACTAACGCAATTTAATTTTTGCAGACCAACGCAGAGCTACGTCAACATCAAGAGCAGCAGCCCAGTGTCGCCGAGGACGGTAGGGACGGGAGCGACGTACGTCCCGGGTGGTGCGGCCGCGTCGTCCACGGGGACGGCAGGCACGGCCGCCGTGGCGACTGCTGGTGGCAACGTCGCCGCCGTCGGTGGACCCTCGATTGCCGTCGTCGCTAGCAGTGGCACTTCCAGTGGTATTGTCAGTGTCTCCAACGTCATACCGGCTGGCAGCAGCGGGGGTGGTAGCAGCGCGAACAACAGCGGTGCGAACAACAACAGCGCGAACAACAACAATAGCGGCGGCGGCGGCGGCGGTGGCAGTGGCGGTGGTGGCGGTGGTGGTGGTGGCAGCGGCGGCGGTGGCGGCGGCGGCAATGGCGCTGGCGGGGGCGGCGGCAGCGGCGGCGGCGGCGGAGGAACAGCAGGAGGAGGTGGCGGCGGCGTCAGCGTCGGCGGTGGCGGCGGCGGCGGTGGCGGCGGCGGCGGCGCGAGTGCAAGCTCGAGTGCACCCGGTGGCTACGTCGCCGTGCCGATGCCCGGGGGTTTACGCTACATTCATTCCTATCCGCCAACCTCGGTGTCGACGCCGGCGGTCGCCGCTGTGGTCACTACGGCCTCCTCGCAGGCCGCCCCCGTACCGGTGCCTGTGCCGGTGCCCGCGCCCGCCTCCGCTCCCCCATCGACCCACCAGCCACCCACCATCAGCCAAACGCCGCCGCCGCTTACCGGCACTGCCTACGCTGCGAGAGACGCGTATCGTGCCGGCACCACGAACGTAGGTATTTCTTCCGTACAGGCGCGAAAAGTACGCACCGCGCGCGCTCTCTCCCTCTTCCTCTCTCTCTTTCTCTCCCTTGATCTCTTCTCCTTCTTTTTCTCCTTTTCTTTTCTCTTCTCACTTCACCACACTTCATCTCACCTCACCTCACCTCACCTCACCTCACCTCACCTCACCTCACCTCACCTCACCTCACCTCACCTCACCTCACCTCACCTCACCTCACCTCACCTCACCTCACCTCACCTCACCTCACCTCACCTCACCTCACCTCACCTCACCTCACCTCACCTCACCTCACCTCACCTCACCTCACCTCACCTCACCTCACCTCACCTCACCTCACCTCACCTCACCTCACCTCACCTCACCTCACCTCACCTCACCTCACCTCACCTCACCTCACCTCACCTCACCTCACCTCACCTCACCTCACCTCACCTCACCTCACCTCACCTCACCTCACCTCACCTCACCTCACCTCACCTCACCTCACCTCACCTCACCTCACCTCACCTCACCTCACCTCACCTCACCTCACCTCACCTCACCTCACCTCACCTCACCTCACCTCACCTCACCTCACCTCACCTCACCTCACCTCACCTCACCTCACCTCACCTCACCTCACCTCACCTCACCTCACCTCACCTCACCTCACCTCACCTCACCTCACCTCACCTCACCTCACCTCACCTCACCTCACCTCACCTCACCTCACCTCACCTCACCTCACCTCACCTCACCTCACCTCACCTCACCTCACCTCACCTCACCTCACCTCACCTCACCTCACCTCATCTTGTCTCACCTCGTCTCACTGGGTCTCGCCGATACGATAACGCCGACCGGAACTCCGATACGACGTCGCGCGCGACGCGTCGGGATGGTCACGGTCGTGCAAACACGCTCGGGAGCGGAAACGAGTCTCGTACTTTTTCTTTTCTTTGCGAGCGATGCGTTTGCTTATAGGTCGTAGCGCGAGAGCGATCACGGTGAGGCTAACGTGTTATCTTGTATGGCCCGAGAATATTAGAGATCGTTCCGTGAAACGGTGAGACACGTGGATACATGTCTCAGCGATTTTTTTTGGAGAGTTATTTTTGAACTTGTTATTGTCGCAATTGTAATTTGTTTTCTTTCTCTTTTTCTCTCTCTCTCTCTCTTTCTCTCGCTCACAGCGATCGGTTTCCGGTGAATGAGGAACAATTATTATGCGCATGATGTCTCCTAGAGACTCTCCTACGCGTGCTCGCGTAGGAAAGTATCAAAGAAGATAAATATTAATCCGCAACGTCGGGCGGGACTAGAATAATCGGGACGCGCGCGTCGCGCAACATTCGCGCACACGCCGTATCGGCCGACCCTGTCCTTGACTTTCACTGACTATCGGCCCTCCTCCTTTTTTCCCTCCCTTTTAACAATACTATTCCCGCGCGCGCTGATGTTCCGCTTTAAACACGGCGTCGTCGTTGTAGCGGAATTGATCAATCGCACGATGATATATTCGAACTAGGTGTTTGCGAACGCACTTCACGATGGAGTTGGTTATACGGACATTTTATTTTTATAATGAATGAGTCGGAATTGCTGGTGCGTGTGTGTATGTGTGTATTGTATACGCACATACGAGTAAATAGCAATTCGATTACGGTACAACCGGTCTTTCACGATTGCTGTCCGATCTTCTCGCGTAAAAATCATCTTTCTCTCTTTTTCTCTCTCTTTTCCCTTCTCTCTTTGAAAGAAAGTCCAAGTTTTGTAGAAATATATGCGAGAATTTCCAGACGTGACCATGATATACACAATCTCCGTTAGATCATGTTCATTTTTATGAAGTCTCACACGAGTCAAGTTAAATCCACGACACGACAGTTGTAACGGACATTATCATATTTAGCTCGTAGCGCGATGCGAGTGGGCGGGTGAAAGTTAGTGTCGCGTCTACTACAGCTACATGCTTGTGTACATGCATGAGCAACACATACACATACAAGGCCGATCGCGCCACGTCTCATTATTTTGGTTTCTTATATATATATTTCGAGTCACTCCGACGTGTACGTACACTAGCGAATAGTCTCCGACGAAGTCGTTATGGCTTAGCCGGGATAGAGAGGGAGAGAGAGAAAGAGAGAGAGAGAGAGTGAGAGACGGATCGTACACGAGTTTACCTACGCGAACCGGCCGGGACGAAGTTCAATGAGCGAATGAACGCGCATTGTAACGCGAAACGTTAGGGGCGGAAATAAAAAGGGGGAGAAGAAAAAGTTTGTACGGACGGTCGGAGTGCGGGAGAGAAGCGGACGACAACGTGCGGGACACAACGAGCGCGCGGGATCATGCGGGGTTTATTATCGGCACCGGTGGCGTGTGCTTTCTTGAAGCGGGTCATCGATTTTCCTGAAATAGTTTCGCGGCGAGAAGGTTAGCGGAGAGATAAATTGAACCTCTGACGAAGAATAAGACGACGAGAGGGAAAGAGATGTGTGCAGTAGGGTCAGAGAAAGAGGGAAAGACGAGAACAAAGGGACGAGAGAGGGATCAAGAGAGGAAAGAACTGGCTGGCCGATAGACTTTGACGACGGTGTGTTTTTCAGGTGAACGAGAGGATCGCCATCAGCGTGAGCAGCAGTCCTCTGTCGCAAGTTGGCGTGGGCGTCCCAGGAGGAGTGGTAGGAGCAGGGGTGTCTGCTGAATACGCGGTCAGCGGCGGCATAGCCGGTATGGGTGGTAGCGGCAGGGACAGACCTAGGATATCCCTACTGCCATCAGCCGCGTCCGTCACGCCAACACCGTCGCCGACCGCGTCGGATTATCAGCAGCATGTGTCTGCCGCGTCGAGAAACCCGCGGGTAGGCCTTATGCCCGTCCAACCGGATCAGTATTGTAGCCGCACCGCTGCTACTATCGTTATGGCCGGTGATCTGCAGGATACGCCGCCCTTCAAAAAGATCCGTCTGGGGCAACCGCACCAACAGGTTCAGCAGTTGCAATCTCAGCCGCAGTCTCGGTGTCAGAGTCTATCACCGGCTGATCCCACTTGCGGCGCTAAGCAGGAGCAACAGCAGCAACAGCAGCAGCACGTTGTACAACTACAACAACCGCTTAGGATAGATACTAGGGTGGGTGCAGCGATTGTGATTTTTTAACAGAGACAAGAGGGAATAGATTGATTCAACCGTTACACTCTTTCATTAAAGTTTCAAGCAATATAAATGGCATTATAACTTGAAATCAAACACATTGATTGCCATGTGGTAGTCACCAGAGCGGCTAGTACTATTTTCATGTATAACGTCGTATAAATCGTTATGTATAATCATTTATACGATTGTACATAAATATACTAAATATATGGGGACAATAAGGAGTTGATTAAAAAAAAAAAAACAAACCAGCTAGCGAATATATGCATCGTGAAGTACATTTGCCGTATCTTTGGTGATATAAATTTTACTTGAACATTGAAATAAACATGGCAGTTAATGTGTTAATTTACGTGTTCTAAAAAATATATGATATATGTATAAATGTAAATGTATTAGAATATTATATGACGCATTTCTGCTAGGAGCAGCCTGCCGTGGGTGCGTACACGCCGCAAACAGAAGCAATTTCTCCTACGCTGCCAGAACCTAATACACAGGAAGACGTGAACTATAGAAGTACCAAGGATGATCTCTTGCAGCAAATCGCCAAGGTAGACAGAGAGATTGCTAAGAGGGAATCTCAGATAAGCAAGTTGAGGAAGAAACTGAAAGAGTTGGAAGAAGCAGCGAACAAGCCTCTGGAAGCGAGCGGTCTGAAACGTCAAGTTGAGGAACAGTCGCAGCAACCAAAGCATCAATCACTGGCGCAAAAGATCTATGCTGAAAATAGGGTAAAGTTTGCGGTATCAATTGAATACTTGAACTCATGAGCGTCGCGGACACGTCTTCAAAGACGAAACTGAGCCAATTCTTAAAATCAGGTGTATTTCATGCGCTCAAATTGTTCATATTTTTCTCTCAGAATGTTAGTCGTAAAATCACTATTATTTAGCTAAAGTAACATTTATAAACACTTATAAACATGTTCTTACCATCATATTGCCGAACGATTAAGATATGTATATAGATATTAAGAGTAGCGATTTACGAATTGAATTTTAATTGGATGTGTTCTTGTTAACAGCGAAAAGCGGAGGAAGCTCATAAACTCTTGGAAAGACTGGGTCCCAAAGTCGAACTACCTTTGTATAATCAACCATCGGATACGAGTGTGTACCAGGAGAATCGTACGCGGCATCAAACGTGTATGAGAGCCCGACTCATATCGAGGCTCCGGAGAGAACATGCCGAGCGCACGTCTTTACATCGGCAACAGTCGCAGACGTATGCCATCCTCGTGCAGGAATGGCATCGCAAGGTGGAGCGACTGGAGGCGGCGCAGAAGAGGAAATCGAAGGAGGCGAAGAATCGCGAGTTCTTCGAGAAGGTATTCCCGGAGTTGCGGAAGCAGAGGGAAGACAAGGAACGTTTCAACAGAGTCGGCGCTCGCATCAAGAGCGAGGCCGATCTCGAGGAGATAATGGACGGTCTGCAAGAACAAGAGGTATATCGCGTCTATACGCTGACTGTTATTCTTAGGAGTCGTATCGTAGGGTCTTAGTTTACGAGGCGAGTGACGTGACGCATTACGTAAGAATGAAATAAAAATTACGTTACGTTGAGAATACGAAATTGGTATGGGGAGGAGTAAAGAAAGGCACGTTACTAAATTAATGTTTGGTGAACAAATACTGTTTGGCGACGATGAATCTTCAGATATCACGTAGAGTATGTTTTCTTTTTAGATCAACGTTAGTTCTTGGTTTATTACGTTTGTTTACGTTTTGTTTTTGTGTTATGATATTTTATGTTGATTTTCACTGATTAATCGTTGTGCTAGGATACGAAAAGATTTTCGCTAAAAGTATATGTGGCTTGAATGTTAATATTTTTTATTCAGATGTAAGTATATGGCTCTACTAGTATTGATACAAATATCTTTTATATGGGAAACAAATACTTTATAGTTACCAAACTCAATGCAGCATTGGGTAGCGATAGGTTTTGAACCTTTGCACTATCCAGTTTCTTCATAACGGGTAAAGGTCTGTTATTTTTTATTTTAAACGGAGGATGATAACTGACAGTTCCTTCCCATCTTTAGACATTTGTTTTGCTTTTTTGGTTTCCCACTGTATGCGGACCAGGGAAAGGCTGGCTTTACTGGATTAATGGATGGAGATGATTGAAAGTTATCATCGGGCTAATAGATGCACGGAATAGAAAAAGTCTTAATGTACTCAGAATTTCGTAATGTTCAGTGGAAAAGTTTCTTGAATAATATCTCTGCATTGACGGCATATCTCGCTGAGATTCAGCTCTCCACAAAATTGTTTCTTTTCCGACTCATATCTCATGCGACATCTTTTTGTAAAAGATTTTGTAGAACATTTATTTTACATGTTTTTGTTTTTAGTTTTTTCATTTGATCAATTTTTACTTTGCGATATTCTTTTGAGATGAGACGCTTCATGGAAGATATCTAACCTTTCCTGATTCCCCAGGAAGAAACGTTGCAAGAATTTAAAAAATTCATTAAAACCCGTCAGGTTAGTAACGTGCGCTTGCTCTCTTCACCCTTGCCTCACCATACATTAGTTATGGATTCGTATGATGATACAAATATTCATTAAAGAGATAAAGATTGTTATCATTATAGTATTATAATATTATAATAATCTGAAAGAGAGACATGTTGATCCATAACTACTGCTGAAAATCATTGAGTATCGCGTATTTATCTTAATGTTGTGTATGAAGGCATTAATCCATGTTTTACGTAAAAAAGCAAAAAAAAATCATTTAGTTGCTTCATTATAAATGTATTTGATGAAAAACGTAGGAATACACATTGATAATGCGTATCTTATAATGTTAACGTTATGAGAAGAGGACTAATACGTAAAATTGATTTCGTAGATGGAGGATAAGAAGATGCGTTCCTATGCCGTCATACCACCTCTGTTGTTGGACGCGAAGCAAAGGAGGATCGCGTTCCAAAATCGGAATGGGTTGCTCCAGCCAGAGGAATTAGAAGCTCTACACAGCGAACGTAAACTGATCAACGTTTGGAGTTCCGTGGAGCACGAATTGTTCAAGGAGAAATACCTCCAACACCCTAAGAACTTCGGAGCGATAGCTCAATCGTTAGAACATAAGTCCGCTCCAGATTGCGTACATCATTACTACCTCACTAAAAAGGCGGAAAATTATAAACAGCTTCTACGGAAGTCGCGCCAGAGGACGCGTAGCTCTCGAAATAATCCGAATAACAAAGTGAGTGTAATCGCAATTAAAAAATAAATTATTAAAGTCCAAATAGAATTATGACGCATTGGTGTCGGCGATGCGTGTTTGTGAAATCAGATATATGAAAGAGGAGATATCATTTTTATTAAAATAAATGTTCTTCGCGTTTGTGTTCCAGGTAAATAATACCAGCTCTACTATTGGACCTATTGATATTTTAACGACGGGAGTAACGACGAGGTTACAGCGGGAACAGCAGCAGAAGACACAGGAGAATCCTCAGAGTAGTTCGACAACAGCAACATCTACGTCCACAACGAGCACTACATCGGCTACATCGAGCGTATCGTCCGCAACCGTAGTGACCACGACGGCGACGACGACGACGACCTCGTTGAGCTCGATAACGTCGGGCGTCGGCTTAACGACGGATTCCGTAACGGCATCAACGACAACGACAACGACATCTGTGCTGAACACCACCGCGACGTCGAGCGCTTCGTCGACATTAACGACATCTGGCACGAAGGATTCCAGGGACGTGAGCAAGGATATCAAGGTCGAACCGAAGGACTCTCATCCCATAAAGGTGGAGTTTGGTTTGATACCGCAGATGGATGTGCCTCTGCCAGGAAAGGATATTAAAGTAATGTACGTGTAAAATTTGATTCATTTGCACTTTTGTTAGTATTTAGTTTTATTAGATGTTAGTGAAATTGGTAGGCCTATATATATGTGTATATATATAATGTGTATATATAGTAACATTATATATATAGTAATAATATATATAAAACATCAATTCTTCTTATAAGATCTTCGCAATAGGATTTATACGTATAAATAAATGCATACATATTTATTTACATATACGCATAAATTCCATTGTCGAGAAATCGATACTCGTCCAGTGACACGCGATTGAAAATAAGAATTTCTTGATTGATCCTAAGCAGATTCTATTTAAATGGAATTTTAATTTGGAGTTTACAAGTTTGTATTACCAAGATAACGTGATATCGAAAAATTGCGTGGTGTCATCGAGAGCAAGCCTCTTCAGATTGGCTGAACACAAGCTGCAATTGAAATGATGTCGGGCTAGCTGCGTAACGCTCTGTACGTAATGCCGTCGCGTTAATATTGTCATATTGTCTACCCTTTTGCAAGTGTTTGCGGCGATATTGATCACTCGCGATACGCGAGTTAGAAATAAAAGGGATCGCGCCGCTCATTTTGCGAAACGCATACCAATTGGTCCGATTTTGATCTATATAAAAGCGCGCGCGGACTGATTGAATGAACCGTATCCATCGGCCGGAAGATATTCATTCCGCAAACACATCCCACTCCGCGAACCAATCTCAATATTGTTCACGGTGGGAGAGACGACCCGCGAATATCCATTTAACGATTGCAATATGGTGACGCATGAATATCGCAAAACCAGCGTGCCGGTGAGAGAAGTTCGTTTCTTATCTTCTCATTTTCCTTCTTTTTTCTTCCTTCTCTCTTTCTCTCTCTCTTTCTTGTTACCACGCGCTACCTTGCGCTAATAGAGATAAGTTTTATTCGCCGTTGGTAATCCGATATTGGCGGCCGAATGAAGAAGCGTTAGTTGTCGAAGTGCGGTAAGCTGATTTCGGGTGTGACGGTCGAGATGAAGCGCGGGGTATGCGATAGCACGGCGACGGTAGCTCGAGTGAGAGAAAGGGTGGCGAGTGGTAGGGGAAGAGGGAGGGAAATCAATTATTAGCAGATTGTAATGCTAATCAATGGTTACTGGTTAGTGGATTATGTTTACATAGGCTCTCATCAACGTAATTGACTCGATCGTTGGAAATATGATTCCGCGCGATGAGAACGGCGAATGTTATGATGGTTCCTTCATCCTTAAGGTGTTACGTATTCGCGACTGGTGATTTGTGCGATTGATCCTGCGAGTTTTGAATAGTACTTTTGTTGAGATCCTACATATTTTTCTTTTTCTAAAGAACATATGTATACATATTAGGTCGTTGCACAATTTCTGTCGTATTTCGTGCGTTTATCTTGGACGCCCGATAAATTACTGTTAGATTTGTTCTTGAATTGCGCTGCTAATTTAATTGCATACTACTTTTATAAGCTGTAGGTAATAATGTTCAATATGTTAATTAAGCAAATTCTTTTTCAAAAATATGTTAATTTTAATTTTATCCAAAAAGACAATGGAAATTATGCAACAATCTCATATATATATATATATATATATATATATATATATATATATATATATATAT